CGTGCCCTGCATCCGGCAGATACCGCTCCAACTCCTGCGCACCGCCATACTCCGCGTCGCGCGCGTCGTCGTACGCGTGGGGCTGGAACACGTCCAGCCCCTGCCGGTGCGCCGCCATCACGCCCTGCAGCTGCTGGTGCTGGTGCTGCTGCTGCTGTTGCTGTTGCTGCTGCTGCATAATCTGCTGCGCAAACGACGCCGCGTGCGACAGCGGGTGCGGCTGCGCGTGGAACGAGCCGTGCTGGACGAGCACCGGCGAGTGCGCGAACGATATCGCGGCCGGCGAGTGCGGCGCAGACGCGCCCGCGGATATCGGCATCGTGGGCACCGCCAGCGTGACGGTGGACGACGACGGCGCCGAAAACTTGTCAAAGTGCACCTTCAGCGCGCGGCCGTTGTACTCGTACCTGCGCCGACAGAAAGGGGGAGAAGATCCGACGAATCTGAGCACGCGCACACACATCCGCACGGTGAGCGGGACACGCACCCGTTGAACATCCGCACCGCGCGCTCGGCGTCCGCCTCACCTGCGAAGCTGACCGTGCCAAACCCCCTCGAGCGCCCGTCAGCACCGAGGGCGACGTCCGCGCGGGTGACTGCGCCCGCTTGGCGGAATAGGTCTTTAAGATCTTGCCACTGGATGTGGAAGGGGAGCTACAACGCGCAGCCATACCGTCAGCCAACTAGCCATGACCTCAGAGGGACGAGAGCGGGACTGGCTCTAGGAGGCACAGTAAAGATCGGCATCTGAGGCGCGCGTTCGCGCAAGCTGAGTCCGTGGGACATTCCAGCCCAGGAGAGAGGGACGAGATAGCGGAAGACGAAAGACTCGAAGAGAGAACGCACGGCCGTGTCATCTGATCCCCACCGCGTCATGTGGTCGGTGCGATCGAGACAGCCCGAGAGCAGAGCTCAGCCCGAACGGCGACATTGCCAAGCCAACGCAGGGCTGGACCTGGCCCCGCATACAAGTGACGTGCCCCACACAAAGCATAGCCCACTTAACCCCCCGGGACACTTGCCTCTCTCGCTCTCCCGCCCTGCCTCCGCGCAAGCGCACCCAACGCCAGTCCATTGCATTTTACTCAAGACTCGCTCCACAGCGGATACAGCCAGAAGGTAAAAAGAGAGAAGTCTACTCACATTCCCCACAAATAAATTCCGGCTCACCACAACGCCGCCCGGGCTGCCTGTGCTCACACCAGAGAGGGGCAGCGCGCCCGACAGCACATCGTCCGCCTCGCCAGCACCGATGCCAGACGGAAAGCGCGATAGGGGCGCGGGGCTTGCGAGGGCAGCATTCATCCCCGGACTCGCCTGAATGCTCCCCGGCGCGGACACACCTGCAACAAGGCCGGACAACGCAGGTCAGCTCTCGCTCGCACGCACCCAGAGCGAGCGGACGCACCTAGCCCGCCGGCTTGGCCTGGGCCACTCTCCTCCCCGCGGTCTTTGCGCACCTCCAGTACGCGTCCCTGCCAGCACCACCCCTGCCCGCCGCGTCGTCGCATTAGCGCGCACAGCGCCGCATGCGCGGGAGCCCACGTACCTGGAACATCCCGACCGCACGCTCTGCGTCCTCTACGTTCGCGAGGAGGACCGTGCCGTGGCCGCGACTGCGGTTATCCGGCCCCAGCGCGACATCCGCGCGAAGCACCGTGCCTGCGCGGCGGAAGAGGTCTTTCAAGTCTTGCCATCGAACGCGGTACGGAAGCTGAATTGACGAATGCACAGCAGCGATCAGCAAGCGGAGCTAAGGGAGGTTAGGGATAAAACACGGTACGAGATAGATCTAGGCACAGCACGAACGACCGCATCCGATCCCCGCCTGTTGGATTCCATCCGCGAGACTGCCCCGCTCCGGCACCCGCCCGCCGATGTAAGCGCGCCTCCCCACTCTCGGCTCCGTCTCCAACGGAAGCGGGGGCAGCGTCCGCTTGCCTGCTGTGCACAGGAAAAAAGAGACGCAGACGCGTAGCGCGTCGAATCTGCGCAGGGACGCCCCGTGGGAGGGTAATGCGAGAAATGGAGACGCGGGGAGAGAAGCGACAGCACGGACAAACGACGCTGCGCGCATCCTGCTAAACCAGAGCGAGCTACCATGGACTCGGGGCGCATCGAGAGGCTGAGTGCCCACGCTGCATGGGCACAAGAAATCAGAGGTGATCCCGCGCGCAGCATCGCACCACAGGCTTCTACGCGCCCACATGAGGCACACGGCACGGTAGCGGGGCCCTTCCTTGCGTTCTCATCCCTGAATTCGTAGCGTCGACCCCCCGATCGGGCGATCCGCGCGCGGGGTTGCACGATCCGGATGATGCGTATTTGAAAGAAAAGAATGAAAGGCAGAGAAGGTGGGGCGCCCGGGTATTGGAAGCGCAATCGAGGGGTGCCGCTGGTGCATTCGCGGAAAGCACGCGGGCTCGCTACACGTGAGCGCACATCGATTGTGGAGGCAGAGCCGACGGAAGCGAAAGGCAGTCACGGGGGAGAGGAGGGAAGACTCACGTTGCCGACAAAGAGCTGTGTGCGAGTGTCGCGGCCGGGCAGAGAGCCCGGTTGGGCGGAGGCGGAGGAGGCCATTGCCATCTTGATGACGGCCTCGATGTCGTCGTTGGATGGAGGGATTGCATTGGTCGCGTGCGCGGACGCATGGCCTGGTGGCGGGGGCAGCGGGGGTTTAGACAGAGCAGAGGGGTAAGTGGCACCAATGGAGAAAAACAGAGAAAGGAAAGAACGACGAGAAAAGAGGGAAAAAGAGCGGATGGGAAACGATCAGCGAAAGATCGCAAAGGAGCAAGAGGCGGGCGACGTACCAGAACCCGGGGCGGATGGCGGACCTGAAGCAAGACTGGGGCTGGCGGGGGTGAAGGCGGGGGAGGGGTTGGCGCTGAGAGAGTGGAGAAGGTCAGTGCGGAATGGAGCGGTGCGTGCGAGGGTGGAGAGGGCGGCGGCGGTGGTGGATGGGATGGGGGAGACAGGACCAGAGACGGGGGCAGATACGGATACGGATACGGATGAGAAGGGGAGGCGGGGAGACGGGCGGGAGGACGAGTGGGCGGTGGTGGTGGCAGTCGATGAGGCGGAAGCGGGGCCGATGAGCGGGCTAGCGCCATTGATGGCGGGGGGCGCGGGGAATGGGGCGCGAGGAGAGAGGGAGAGAGCGGGCGCAGTGGGAGGGAGGGCGAAGGGGCGGAGCGGGAGGAATGCAGAGGGGGAGGCGGGGTCCTGTGGGGAGAAGGAGGGTGAGTGGGCAGGGCGGGACGAGACTGGGGAGAGGACAGACGGAAGGGCCGGCCGAGGGCGTGCTGGAGAGCGGATGGTGCATGCCTCGGGGAAAGCGGGCGGGCACACCGGGCACAGTCGAGGCCGGCAACGACGACGACGACGACGACGACGAGGACGAGGAGAAAGGCGTTGTGCGGTGGTGGTGAGAGTCGACGAGAGACGGCGACGACGACGACGATGCGAGCCTCCCTCCCGCAGCCAATCACGGCCCGCGCGCCAGCTCCACTCACGTGCTCTGATGTCATGACGCGCACCCCGGCTGTAACTGGCTGGTCGCTGGCGGAGGCCGTGCGGGCGGGGTCGGGCATGGCAGAAGCACCCCCGTTTCGTCCTGACGTCACCGATCTCTGTCTGCCAAGTCCTCGCCCGCTTCCAGCATTGAGTTCGTCCGCACTCCGCAGCACCCACGTGCCCCCCCTCTCGGCATCGCACACGACATCAACATCGACCGTGCATCCATGGACGCGAGACGACATGAGCAGCGCACCGCAGGAAGGCCCACTTCTGCCCCCCGTCTGCGATGGCGATGACCTACTCGACTCTCGGGAGAAGGTTCATTCGAGAGTGGTGTTGAAGTGTGCAATGTCTCCAGAGGAGCTCGTCTGCGTTGTCATAGACGCAATCAAAGGTGCACATAATGCACCCTCAACGATGGCAAGGTTCGATAATGCTGGCATCTTTGAGGGGCATCAAAACACTTTTTTAAGAGACATTTTGCATCGCCATGTCAGCGAAGCGAACATTCTCATCGCGCCCGTCATTGTGACTGGAATAAAGGTGTTCTTATGGACTTCAATAACGCGATCAAATTCACTGGACACTTGAGGATGATCCTGTACATATCAGTACAGGCACCGTTGTCTTATTTCTTCGACCTAATCTAATACAGAGTTCTGATATCAGGGAACATGTTCATGTCTGCTGAGTTGCTTTCCAGGCAGCGATACTGCCAGTCGCCGATTGCGGATACCAGTATTAGTGAGAACACCGGCTTCACCCACATTATGAACGCCGGCGTCAAGATCGCCATGTCCAAGTTATCAAGCTGCTCCTCGTCCCGCGCAACATAACAACTCGCAAGTTCTTACTCATCAAGTAAGTCGGGTTTTAAGAATCATGTACTGGATTTTCTTCCAACCCACTACAAGCCACTCAAACTCATGCTACGAGCTTTCCACGACACCATTGCAAATGCATACAGCAAGCAGCCACACTATCAGAAAAAAAAACCACAAATCGAACACCGAAAAAAAAAATACGTCACGCACGAATGCAGACTGCACATATCCATGACATCCGAAATCATGAATACATTCCTGCCGCATGGGTCTCACCACTCAAACCACCGGCTTCCATTCCACTTGGACAGTCTCCGTGTCCGTACGAGCGAGTCTACCGATCGACGACGCCTCAGTGTCCTGCCTGTGTCTTGTAAATCCTCATACACTGTTCTGCATTGGATATCGAAACTCACCTATGCCCCCTTCTCCAGCTATGTTGTCCCTCTCTGGATGCCCTCGCGCAGGCAGCATTATGGGCAGCCACTGCTCAACCAGCTCGTTCATCATCGCCCCCGCCTCTGAATCCCTCTCCAAGATTCCACTGTCGCTCACAATCCATATTGCCGGTAGGATGCGTGATGTCTGAGAGTCGCGCAAATACGTACAACAGAAAAGGCCATAATGTATGCGAGGGGATGCCAATGCATTCCATTACGATATTAGGTGGGAACTCTGCAGGGAAGAGAGGAGACGCACGATCAGCATCGAATGGTTGACATATGGTGCACAATTGAGGTCATAAGTTCCCGTCCCCCCGGCCCCGTTCCTGCCGGTGAGCAGCTTCAGCTCCTCAGAGAGCGTCTCAACGATCTCACGCATCATCTGTCAGCCCCGCTAAGTGGTCTATGAGCCGTCACTAGCACCCAGTAAAGCACAACGCACCTCCTCGTTAGGGTTCCCCAAGCGTACCTGCTTTCGTGCCGTGTGCAAGACATGTTTGAACAAATGCAGATGGAGCACTGTCGGTCCACAGACCCATCAGCTCCGTCTTGCTCATCGCACAGCCCATCCCTCGTTCAAAGCAGCTGCAAGGAAATTCAAGAATGAAAACACGCACTAGCTGCACTGCGCATCAAAGCCGGCCTGAGCCGCACCGCACCGAGTCCGCATGCCTCCAGCCACCTTGAGCAGCGCATCCGCCCCACCGCGACGCACACTTCCTTCAGCTGCTCCGAGGGCAGGTCCCGCCGCAACCGCCGAGCGCGAAGGGCTCCTCGGAAGTACTGTTCAAGCCGTGCGAGCCCGAGCAGCACGCGGAGGACATCTGAGAGAGCGGGGGGTGGCGCCGCGGCGGCAAACGTGGCCGCGTGAACAGCGACTGCAGCGGAGTCGTCGCGCGTGCAGAGGAAGTTCTGCTCAAGGACATGTGCAAGGCCGCACCATGCATTTTGGGGGAGGCTTTTTTTTTTCGAATTCGGGTAACGACGAGAGGATGAGGCAGCGAACAAGCGGATATCGCAGAGGAGGGGGAAAAAATCTCAGCATTCTGCACGGCGTACGGGGAGATGACATGGAATAAGTTACGCACCTGCCGTCTTCGGCCCTGACCACGCCTAGCGCATCGCGCAGTACGACGAACATTATCTCGCGCCATTGGTGTGCAACGCTCAGGAGCGTAGGCGCGGGGTTCTCTGTGCGCCGGCAGTAGCACTCCTCCCAGCTCTGCGGGGGAATAAAGAAGCAGCGGAGGAGGTAGTTTCCAATGCACTCTGCAAGGACATTGTAAAGCAATTCCGGGGGAAGCGTGAGCACCCGTGAGGGCGGGCGTAAGCGCACAACAAGCCGCGGGGGGTCCGGCGGGGGTCCGTAGAGGGAGGCAAGGATCTGGACGCGCGAGGGAATGGGCATGCGAGTCCAGATTATTCGATATTATAGAATTGAGAGTGTTATTACAGATGCGACTCGGAATGGATGTTGGCCAACTTCACAGGCCTGGGCGGCGGCAAGCTGCCTCGATCTCGATTGATTGAGTTGCTCTTACATAAAGAACACGGTCACATGCACAGAATTCACGACCTGCATACATTCAGGGAACGCGTTATTATACAACCGGTGGAAAATGTTGTACATCTCGACATTGCGAATAGTTGATGCGTACGTCCTTGTAGCTGAGAGCAATATGCCTTTACGGCCCCTGCCCACTCTTATACTTCTCCCACTCTATCGCGATCGCGCGCTTGAACTCACCGAATGGCATGTCGCTATTCGGTTGGAAGTCCTTCTTCTCGCCCTTGGGATCCGTGCTCTTGTACCGGAAGTACTCATAGTGCACCGAATCGTCTTTCCCATACCTACCATCCCATCTTCATAAGCACAGCACAGACTGTTATGACGAAGAAGGCTCACTGATAACACTGGAGCGTGCAGCACACTGCTCCGTGTGGCGACTCGTTGCGCAGTTGATGAATCTGGTACTGTTGGCTTGACAGCCAGGTGATATCTCCCGCCTTGAGCACCGCGGGGTTCGCGATATGCTGTGGCCCGGGCGGGTCAAGGGAGTCGAAGTAGTATACGTGGATCGAGCCATACAACACCTGCAAAATAAATTGCTCAGCGCATACAAAGCGTAGCGTGATGAGAATATCGTACTTTTATTACGGCGAAAGCGTCGCCATGGTCATGAATTGGGCTGTAGTGGCCTGCGGGCCAGATCTCTAGCACGTAAGGGATTCCCGGGGAGTCTCCCTAGCCAGGCAGACGCGATGCACTTGAGTACCCACATCGCTGATATGCTATACAAAGGGAACGCACCATATCTCTTCCAATCGTGATGCGTAGGTATGTCCCCGTGAAATCTTTCTTCCCAAACTCATCCGCTTTCTTCTCCAGCAGCTTGTAGCCGAGGCATCCCTTCGTGTTAACGCTATGCTCGATCGCAGCGCCGAAATCAGGAAAGTCAGGCGTGTTCAGTAAGATATTCGGGCCGGCAACATTCGCATACAGCCGCTGGCACTCCGGCGGGAGATTCCCAACTACTGTGCAGACACCTGTCTCGAGGTCGGACATCGACACAGCATCGCTGGGAGCGATGTATGGCGGGAGGTCGTTCACGAGCGGCAATGGCTGGACAGCAACCTTTCGCTTTGTCTGCGCAGGAGAACAATCAGTGTATGAAAGCAGAGTCAGGACGGCCAAGACTCACCTCATCGCCACCAACCTGGGTAACCACCACGTTCTTCAGGTCATCCAACCAGTTCCACTTGGGGTCAGACCACACCATGACGCCTTGATCGTTCTTGACCTTTAGCGTAGCCTCTAGGAGCGCGAGGTTCGTGCTTAGATAGTACTTGCCGTACCTGATCACTCCGTTCGGGCGGTCGACTGATAGCCAGTACGTGGTCTGCTGGTCAGGAAGGAGGTAGCATGCGGCAATACCCTTCAGCGCGACCGCGGGAATCGGCGTTGGCGTAGATCCGAGGACGACGGAGTCTTTCCCGTACGAGAAACCACAATGGTCCGTCGTCACATCCAAGAAAAGTGTCGGCTTGCTGCTATCCGGGGTGTTGACGGCGATGCGGAGGCCGGCCTTCGCGTTGGTGGAGACGGCGATGGTGCCTTGGCCTTCGATGGGGAGGGTCGCCACTGACGAGTCCGATCCGCGCTTGATGACGAGCGGTACGGCATGGGTAAGGTTGTCGACCTCGTCCTTGGATGGAACGGCAGCATAGGGACTAGGTACAGCAACTCGCTCAGCAGGAGCTTGGAAGTCGCTTGCATTGAGAAAGGGATCGACAAAATTGTAACGATGAGACATCGTAAGATGGAAAGACGATACCGATTGAAGCTACAGTACCCGTCCAGTCGAACGCCTTTTATACAGGTATGAGGGGCGCGCAGTAGAACATATTCGACTTCACCATTCGGCAATAGGCTTCAAATGATTGGTTTGGCAATGAGGGCGTCGAGTTCCTCGTCAGGGTCGCGTGGGCGGCGAACTGAAGAACGTCGGAAACAGTATCGCCGTGATTGTAGTCCTTCGAGGAATGAGCATGAATGAAAGGAAGAGGGTGGAGAATGGCACGCACCCAAGATCGTGTCTCACGGTGCATCAATATATGTGCGCAGTCGGCAAGATATAGCATTCACCCTGCTTCAAGACGACGTAGGGAATGGTCAGCAGACCTAAGGAAAGATTCGTTGGAACACGCCACGATGACAAGCAAATGGTATCCTCTTCAATGAGATTCTGGACTCGCTCGGAATCGTTCTTCTTTGCGCTCAACGAGTACAGTACGTACGGTGGGTCTGGTGAACAGTCTATGAGCAGAATCTAGAAGAGACCCTTAGGCCCGGGGCTAGCCCGAGGCGACCGCGTCATGTCGCGTGACATAACGCGACATGATGCTAGCGTTAATTTCGTGACAACTGACACAGTATACTGCACTCCCAAGACAACTTGGAGACAGCCACTACATATCCTCGCCGCTCGTTGCTAGAAACTTGCCGAGATTCTTCAATATATCACATCGATCCGCAAATGTCTACGACGCCTTCTGATTAGTTATATGGTTGACCCTTCTTACATCAGACATCCACCCAATAATTCCCGAGCGTGCTGGTATGCGAGAATTATGGAAGCTGCCAGACGAAGCCTTGGCGTCATTTGAGAGATATCTCGTACGTCGAGATAAGAATCAACATCCACGAATTTGGAGACAATACTAGTCAGTCAAGACGTCGAGATTACAATCAACATCCACGAATTTGGAGACAATACCAGTCAAGACGTCGTAGAGCATCTTGTGGACGATTTCCTGGCTCACTTGTTAAAATCGAAGGCGACCCCTGATCGAGATCGTCTAGGTGTAATCTAGGGACGAGATTGAGACAAAACAGTAGATATGGGATCGGAGGTAAACTTGTCGACGAACGGCATGAGCATTGGTTAGACTTGCCTGTGGCTACGGGTGAAGATGAAGGTGTTCTCCGTTCCGTCGAGGAGATCGGTATATCTGTTGAGTGACCTCAATGACTTACCACTTACGACGCAACATTCTTCCATTGATACCCGCACGCGCGACAAACAGAATGTAGGATGTTGTTGAATTGATTACTAGTGTGCACATATACCTGTCGTATAATAATTATTATGTGTAGTTGGGGTAAATAGCGCAGTCCGTATGAAGAGTCCATGATGTAGATCGCTCGCGGATCTAAGTCCTGTAGTCCGAATGTGATGGTGATGTGAGTCTCTAGTCTGAATAGTAATCTATAAGTACGAATATTAGATGGAACATTACCAATATGTCTAAACGCAGTCCCATGTCGCATCTGATCGAGACCAAGGGCGACCAGATTTTATGAAGAGAAAATCTGGTCAAGTTCCGCTTTGAACATCTCCTCCACAGCACGACGGCGAACGTTGCCCTTTGTCGCTGTGCAGGGGAGGGCATTTCTCGGTACAATGACGACCATCTTTGTAGACGTGATTCGCTCATGAAGGTACCGCCGCGCGTGGAAGTGTCTCGTGCGACGAATGATCTCGCGCTTCAGCCGGTCCTCAGGCATTGAGCTGCTCGTCTCCACGAAGAGTGCTGGGGATGGCCGTCCGTTTCCGACAACGACGCATTGCGTGATGAGATCGCCGCACGTCGCACGGACGTTGTCCTCGATCGCGCGCGTGTCACAGCGGAGCGCCGTCGAGCTTTTGATCCAATCATCGTTTCGCCCGCGGCTCACGTATGCGCCTGATGCAACCTCGAGGAAAAGGTCTCCCGTGTGATAGTGGCCGTCAGGGGCACGGAGCGAGCGGTCGGGGCAGTCGGGAGAGTCGGCGAGAATCACGAGCTCGAGGAGCTGCCCGTTAACGTTCTGAAAGTTGGAGGAGTCAGAGACGGGGAAGAAGCCGTACTTGGCTCCTTCCAATGGATGAACGGGAGGGTCAGGGCGTCCTCCACCCCGCTTCGACACGAGCATCACGCCGCATTCAGTGTTCGCGAATGTGTTCGTCACATTCATGTTGTTTTTGTACATCCATTCCTCGTCCTCGCGGGGCAAGGGCTGTCCAGAATAGAATATTTCATCAAGAGCACAGAGTTGCGCAAGGAGCTTAGAGTCCTGGCGTGAATTACGCATGTGGATGCCAAGGAATGAAGGGAACTGGTTAAGCCGGTTGAGACCGCAGCGAGCAATTATGTCAAGGAGCTCGTCTGAGCTGAAGTCGATGCGGGTAGGTTGAACAGTGCACGAGCCATGTTGTAAGGATCCCAGGAACATGAACGTCTGGCCGATGTGACACACGCTTCCCCTTATGTCATCGAGTGAGTGTTTGCAGCACAAGGTGGCTGGTTCACGTACATGTATACTGTAACATCTTGCTTTGTGAGTTTAATGGGCTTGCTAACTTGTCCCGCTTTTGTTATCATCGTGTGAAGCCACGAATAGCTGCAGGGTATGAGCTTAGGGCACCCCGATGTTGATCCAGATGTGTGATAGATGAAGACGATATCGGAGCCCTTTACTTTTGAGATATCAGACATAGAGGGTAATGGTGCGGTTTGCGGGCCGGCTGCGCGAACATCTATTGCGGAATGGACAGGGATAGGACAACTCGAGAGGTCGGGTGTATACGATGCGTCGTAAATCAGAGTCTTGGCGTTAGCCTTGTGAAGGAGCTCGTAGATCACGTCAGGGTTGGAAAGCTTGAGGGAAAACAGCTGAGGAACATATCCCGCGCGCGTCATGCCATAGATATGCAATAAGTCGACATAAGTCAAACCGCCGAGCCTGATCGACCAGATATTAGCACTGATCAATGAGGAAACTAACTTCCTGATCTCACCATAGGCCTACGACGGAGCGTCGCGGAAGTCCTTGAGCAGCTAAGGTTCGCGCCCAGTACCTAGCGAATGACTCGACATCGGAATGGAGCTCGCTGTAAGTGATCGATCGCCAGTGGAGGATTTGTTTCGTGCTGTCATCGACGACAGGTTGTCGAATGGCGGAACGAGAAGGGTAGATGGAGGCGCTTTCGGCAAGGATAGTGAGGTGTGTTCTGAGGGAAGCCTTCATTATAGAGATGTAGTTTACTGCGGCGTGAATAGGATGAGTTCGAGCCGAGATTAGATAACTGGTCGTAAGATAGCAAGTAGATTAGTTGTGTAGACTAGGAGAAGAGTAGACTTGGAGAAATGGTGGGGAGCACAACTTCGGACATGTGTCTTATACCCCACGGCAATGAGGCAACACGCAAACCAAACCATGTGGATATTGTCACGATGATTCGGAACCGGTGGTGAAGATGGACGGCACTGGTCACCGACCGCTGTTTCATGTTACGAAGGCCCATTTCGCGTGAGGGGGAAGGCTGTACGCGCCTGGCAAGCGACTAGCGACGGCCGAACCAAGCATATTTCAATTTCCGGTGAGGTGGCGGAATCTTTGCCGCCACCATCCAGAATGTGTTTCAGGAGAAAATCCACTTGGGGCTCCCCCAGCCTCTGCTGTTTTTTCAAACGCGCCAGGGGGTTGCATAAGCTGCGGATGAGAAATCCTAGCGTAGAATAGCAAAAACTAAGCCCGAACAGCTGTGTCGAAGTCGGGGTCGCATCAAATCGGCGCGCCCTGATCACGTGCACGCTGTCTAACAGATTGACTGAGTGACTCCGACGATGGGTCGATCACTCTCGATTCTTCCGCGTTCCCGCTTTCACGACAATCTTTGCACTACAGTATGGCTTTCTCTTATGATTTGTTCGACACTGGAGGTAATCATGTTCAATATATTGAATATTGGCAGACTACGACTTCAATACGCATTTCCCGATCCTCTTGCTCTATGCGAATGCTGTGTTGCGCCTCCGATGTCAAGATGATCAGGATCAGGCCGACGCTTCAACGGAGAATGTCGCCATGACTCTTCCGAGCTCGTGCACATAGGCCAAGCCCCGTTTCAGGTCGGAGGGCCCACAATCTTTATGCTTAGGCTTCATCTTCGCGAAGCTTTCCTTCACCGCCAGCATCGAAAGCAGGATTCCTACATCGGTGTAGATTCGGATTGATCCACGAGTGAGTGGATGCTCTTCGAAAAGTCCCTGGTCCTTTTCAGAGGATTTACCCCGGTGCTTACACTGCTCCCACTCTCCAATACTTGACGCTGTACGCGGTTGCTGTTTAACGCCGATGCATACCTCTCCCTCTGTAATCGGTGAAACCATTTGGGGTATCCTTGCGCTGAGGTGCAGCGCCATAGAAAGAAGATTGACTGGTGAGCTGAATCTCGATGTTGTACCACTGCATTGCGTCGTAGATCTCGGTGATAGATCTGACCGACGGCAAGTCGTGTCAAGGCTCTTGTTAAGCCGCAGCGTGAGCGTGCAATTCTTTCACGGCCTCAGAAATGACGTTTTAAACTCGATGGATCACGGGACATTCTGGCTTCAAGGGAGTCATGAGTCTGATTTGTAACATGCTGTACCTGGAACTAGATTCGATCCCAAGGCACAATTCCCAGGTTCATTTGTGTTTCCCGTAGTCAACTTCCCAAGAACCAACTTAAGGCCGCACTCTGCTTTGGTGAATCCTTCGCGACGAATAGACATCTGTTTCAACATCTGGTTTAGGTATAGCCTATATTGACTGCCGGCGCACGTACCTTCCGAGATCATTGCAGTCGATTGTATCGCACCCATAATAGGTAACAATGAGGGCTCGATCTAACCTTGCGCGCTGGAATCCCGATAAGTGAGTATTTTATTGTGCTCTTCCAACGTTCTCTATCGTAGACGGATAACTCTGTTCCGTGTTGAATATGGCATTAAATCTCGAGGTAGGTTCCATATTCGCGCAACGCAAGGCGATGGTAGGTAGGAGGGCCATCAAAGTAGCCGTCGTTGATCAAGGAACCTATGATGTCACGGTCAGTACCTGCCGCATTCTCCGCATGCATCCACGTCATATTGGAATGCACGCTACTAGGTACACAAGAGCACACTAGGCGGGCTATGTCGCTCACTTCTCTTCGCCATCAGGCTAGCGTGCTGTCCACAATATCTTGCCAGGATTGAGCGGGTCATCTGGGATGTAACTCCTTCGCTTCGTTTCTAATATCTTATGCTGTTGACATCGCTGCAAAAAGTTAAAGATAATATCCGTCGGGTGAGTCTGAGTTACCCTCCAACGATACAAGAGGATGACCTAGATCAGCCCTCATTCTCATTTTCCATACCGTACCACCCGCAGTTGCGCTGACTCTGTCTCGAACTGCGGATGAATTGCCTTCCTAAGCACGATAGACAATTCATTGTAACGTTCGTCCCTTGGTACCCGCGCTACTCGGTTTGGCGCGAACATCTAGGTCGTCAGATAATGGTAGTACTCTCCATCTCCATCTCCGCCGTAACCATCCTCTTCGTTCTCCTTGACCCTCAACCCTCCGGTGAGCGGATATTGGTCACTTGCACGAGGGAGGTGCCGCGCTCCGTTTCGGGTGTGTCCTGAGATATCGTAGAAGAGCGGTGTGTGTCGGACTAGGTAACAGCGTACTGAGGTGAGGCAATTGAGCACGCTAAAGGCACCAGTCCATAAATACCATCCCCGATGCCCCTCGGCCATAAGTGGTGGAGTCCGGCTAGGCGCTTGTGCGAGAGTCTCCATCGAGTCCATAGATTTCTGGATGTCAGTATGAGTCACCGTACCAATGAGTCAGTATACTATAGCGGCAGGAACAATTCTATAAAAGGAATAGCAATAGAAGGAAATTCTGCTTGTTGCTTCTGAGCGCTCATTAGTAATGTCGTGGTTGCGCATCTCCAGCTTCAACATGCACATTGCAGTCGGGCTGACCCTGACAAACTTGAATTAAGGCAATGCGAGTACAATATGGGGCATAACTGCTAACGTCATAATGCATACCTTCGGCGGATCTAACTCTCCGCTCGCTGGTTCTAAAAACTACTACTAGTACATGATGAAACTCGAATGGGCTTGCTCGATGATTCTAGTTGCGGAATGAACTTCGTCCGAATGAATATTAGCTTCACATATCCTGGAGTGCATGTAAAACATCCTAGGGCGAGGTGAGTGAACGATGATAAATAGCTTGTAATGCGTATTACTTACCCAAGCATCATCATCCCAAGGTTTTATGCCTTGACATAAAAGCTCACGGGCTTCATCGCGTGCGAATCCGAAATTTTCTGCTTGCTCGTCTATTCCGCTCTCCATAAAATCATTATAGTTATCCATCTTTTCATCGTCGTCCTTAAACTTGTCCATGTGATGTCCGAATCTAGGGCCCACCATCTTATTCGCGGTCTGGAATTCCCTGTTTCTCTGGATCGTATCAGTATAAACTGCGGGCCCGGATTCATCGTTGCTTGAGTCTTGGTCATAATAATCAACCTGTATCCATCTGTCGAATCGCCAGTTATGTATCACAGCATAAGCCTCAAAGCAATCTTGTTGCATCCTTGGACCTGGATCCTCCTTAAACATCGACACACGCGCATCGGTCTTTCTGGGTGCATCCGAGTTCCAAAACACATCATCAGGAAGATACGTCTCGTCGTGGGCGTAGTAGCAACAATCTCGGAACCGACAGTGGCCTATGAGCCACAAGAAACAGACATTTCGCCCACTGCGCAAGAAATTTATCAGCCTCAGCAACGGCACGATGATAGTGAATCAGAAATACTCACAGCTTATCACGTATATTCTTAGCGTCGGGTGCATGTTTGAACCTGCAATGCGAGCCGCGCCTACATCCCTCGTGATTGAGGTACCGACAAGGTATCCCATTACCCCCGTGCAAAAATTCACTCGAGCCCGATTCCGTCGATATGTTTGACGCAGCGTCTTCCGAGTCGTCATCATCCCCGGCACGTGAAAGTATACTTAATGCTTCTCCGAGGGCAATGCGTGTAGGTTCGGATGATGGATCTTGTCGAAGAACGTGGCGGAGATTTAAATCGCCGAGATCAAAGTCTGAGAGCAACAGCAATTGTTCTGCACTATACCGAGAACAGCTGATCCATGATCACCCAGCTCGTTAGCCATTGCTCTCCGATAACGCGCCTTGAGATTCATCGGCTCGTAGTACAAAGCACGACTCGCTGCGCTCACTGCTTCAGGATAGCTGAGATAACGACACAGTTAGCTCAGAAATACTGAGTTTGTGATGACTGTGATGCTCACGGCTTTATTTTCAGCAGTGCTGCTGTCAGATTCGTCAGGTATACAGGTCGAGGTCCGTAGACCATTGCTGCACCGAGATACATGTTGGCTGCCTTATCAAATCGACCCTTTTAAACGTCATATTTCCCTGTATTTTCGTTAGCGATATACTACGGAAACCGAGCCATTCTGACCTTCTCCTTGAGCTTCTCGGCCTCCATGCGTCTGGGTCGGGAGGACGATGCTCTTATCACAGCCCGAGAAGCAACCTCATCCTCTCTCGGGCGTCGAGCTCTTTCTTTCTTGAAGGGAAGAGGTCGCTCGCTCTGAAACTCTTTGGCTGGCATTATACCTCGATGATCAACAGTTAATGACGAGTGGCCCGTACGAGGACCTAGGTCGCCAGGGCTGATCGACACACCGCACATTTCTATAACAAGTCACATCGTTTCTTGCTCCGCGTTCACGTCATCTACATAACCCAGATAACCAGAACCCATTGGTGCCCACACTGCAGGGAATTCCTCAAGCATTGAATCCAACAAGAGGTCAGGGTCAAATACGAGTGACTCTAGGTATGATGTGCGCATGGGCACGTACACTGCATGCTTTCGCATGACGTTCTTCAGATGGACCGCCTTCATGCTGTAGGCATCGAAAAATTCTGTCGAGCGAAGTGGACTAGGAATTCCGGCTGAATTGAGTGTGAACGTTATTCGATGATAATCTCCGGCAGCCCAATCGTATCCCCATTTCTGAAAGAAAGGAAGGATGTTGCCAAGCTCCAATTTATTACCAAATTGAAAACCAAAAATGGCACGACCTCCAGAATGAGCGTACCCAATCGTTCGTTTGGTTAGGGGATCATGCTTTGCAATGCTCGAATGCGTAACAATGACGGCAAAAGGCGATGGGGAAGTAGAAAGGTGCTTTTTTGCGGCTTTGGGGTTAACAGCCTCCTTGACGATGGCATTCTTGCGCAGATCTACGTATAACTGGGAATGCAACTCCTCAAACCTATTCTCTTTGTCAAGAGACAAAAGCAAAATAGTACGCTTTGAGTTATCTCCGGACTCAGTACTTGCACTTGAAGAATCTGAGATCGAGCTTGCAGGGATTCCTTGCTGCATTTTTGATTGGACCTTCGGCTTAATTGCTGATTTAGGATATAATAACAACGTTAAGCTTATGACTAAGGCCGAAAAAGAGAATCTTCACCTGAGTCTTTTCCGAGCTTGGTTTACTGGCAGCTGAGCCGGATGTTGTTGAGGATCCAAGCACATGGCCATGACAACGTGCGCTGCCGCCGCTGACATATCCACATACCCAACGTACCCAATCCGACCTTGGCAATAGGATCCAAACGTGGCTGCAGTCTCAACCAAAGCACCAGGTTGAGATAGCGTACCGCTGCCAGCATGCGAGACGGAGACGTGTTCCGCAGCACGTTTGGGGACACGTCTGAGTAATTGAGCTCTCCGATCGAGCTTCCAATCGAGATCCACTGTTTCAAGACCTTCCGCATCGCCGTTGAGCTCAGCAATTGATTCTGTTAAAAAAACCCATCTCCCACAACAGGCAAAACTTCTTTTGTAGAATGTCATTGACGGTAGCTCGAATCATGCTGCTGCCAAATTGGAAAGCAAACACGACAGTTCCAGATGAAGCATACATGATCAACTTGGAGAGTTCTTTTGCATTTGTCAGGTCCAATATCCCACCATCTGTGACAATGACGGACATTGGAGCTGGGTAGCTTGAAAGCTGCTGCACAGCTTTCTTTGTCGACGTCACCTCGCTGACAACATTCTTCGAGATGGGGAAGGAGTCTTCTGCAGCCGAGAGTGGTTCACAGCACGGCGAGTCGGTGCGAGAGCACGAGGAGGGCACTATGCCTTGCACTTGGCAGTAGTAACTAGACCTACGATCATGGTCACGCTGCAATACGGTTCTAATTCCAGCTAGAGACTTGTAGAGACTAGCGGGCCATGTGAGTTCATGAGAGAGTCCTGTCAGCTCGACTTGACTCACCGTCCGACAAATGCGTTCCGATTCCAGTCCGATGGTCTCAGGTAAAAGCGCGCGCGTCTCTCATAGGTCCGTCATTAGCCGACGTCTGCTCGGGATGCCGCTCCGCCATGCCAGTCGGGTTTGGATCCGAGTGACTGTTAGAGAAACAGAGGGAGAGACGGACAAGAGAGAGCAGGAAAAAGATGCTCAAAATTTCAATTTGAAGGTTAGTGGCCCGACCGATTAAAAACGACTATTTAATGATTCGATGCCATCCGCTCGCGGTCCGGTTGATCCATTCCATGAAATCTCATTGGTCAGAGGTTGGCACTGTTCCAATGCCTTTCGTGTGCTTTTTGATGGCGTCGAAAGGATGCTTTCTGCGTAGTGGTCGTTGTATTTTGGTTGCCATTTCTGGCCGGTGCGTAACTTTGATGTTGTCCAGTGAACTTATCGTAACGCTTCAGTCGGTAGCATTCGAAAGCCTTACTTGAATGCAAAACGATACAAGCTGTAGCTGATGCTTCCGAAAAGAGCTCCTACACTACGTAGCCATTGCTGCACCTTCGGCCAATGAAAGTAGGTAATCCTTATCCGCACTCTCCCTTACCATAGTACGAAGAATTCCACCCTCTTTGTTCAACAGATCAATAGGTCTACCAAATTCAATCTGTGGACGTATAGTTCAACTATCGAATCAATTCCAGGCAGCGGCTAAGGTTCAGCACTCACAATGCGTCCAGCATCAAGTACCATCTGTGATAACGGTCAGAAAATGGCATGCAAGTACGGAAGGTTATACGAGATACTCACAATTTTATCTGCATCCATGATCGTTTGTAAGCGGTGCGCGATCGTCAAGAGCGTCACGTCCTTCCCCAGTTCCCGTCTGAGTGAGGCTTGAATAATTGTGTCGGTCTCATAGTCTGACAAGTCTTATTAATACGAAAACATGACAATGGCCAATCATTACTAAACTGACCGATTGCAGAAGTGGCTACGAATCAGCGACATAGCGTTAGAGCTTCATTAATGCACATCTAGTACGACATTACATACCTTCGTCCAATATCAATAGCTTGCTCTGCCGCACAATGGCTCGCGCGAGCGCAAGAATCTGACGTTGTCCTACGGAGAGATTGTTCCCAGCACTAGCAAGCTGACTGTCTAGAGTGATGCGGCTCTCGTCCGTCTCGCTTTGAAGAGAGAACAGGCCAGCAGCGCGTAATGCGTCATTCAAAACCGCGTCGTCGTGCTGCTGAAACGGATCTAGGTTTTGCCGCAGTGTTCCACTCAACAGCTCCGGCTAGAGAGGGACAAATTCATATCTCAACATGTGATGAAACCGCATTTTTACTCACGACTTGCGGAATGATGGTGATCTTGGACCGCAGACCATCAAGATTAATGGTGTCTGTGCGAATCCCGTCGTAGAACACAGCACCTTCAGTTAGAATACAACGCAAAAGCGCCAAAGTCAAGGAGCTCTGAAGGGTGATCAACAAATGGCTGAAAATTGAATAATTATTCGTACCTTTCCGCTACCGGTGCGACCAACTACAAGATGTTCATTTCAAGAATTACTCATTATGGATATCGGACTGACCTATTCCAACACGTTCTCCTGATTTAATCTCAAACGAGATATCGTGTAGGACGCAAGGCCCATCCTTGAACAAGTCAGAAGATATGCTAAGCTTGAGGCCAGACGACTTACTTCGGAATACCTTGCAGATAGCTTCTCTACTCTCAACGTCCCACTTGCAGGCCAATATGCCGGGGGTGCATGATTCGTGCTGGGTTTCGGTTCCTGCTCTATTTCCTGATATTGTTGAATTCGTTCCAAACTAACGCCTTGATTGTAAATATTATATGTTATTTCAAGACCTCTCTGACATACCTGTTACCTATAATTTTACTCAACAACACAAACTATGCAGATTATATAGAAGAACTCACCACTGACTTCAAGTTCGTTCAGCAGCCTCACCCACCAGATGATATTGCTGCTGAAGGCAACTGTGTATAACGTAAGTCAACAATCTGTCAGATTTCTGGGCTGCATCACAAACCTGCCACATTCAACGAAAAACCCGTATTAGAGGCGTTGAAGGTTCGTCCATACACAAGATAGGATGCGAGGCTAGTGGTAAATAGCGCTCCAAGTGTGTCAATGCGTATGGCGATCCACCTTCTTCTGTTAGCTCAGGAAAAGCTTACGTGAAAGGTACTCACTGATTCAGCGCGTGGAGGATCCTGGTGGTTCTTGTATATCTGTCAATACGGCTGAACGATTGTAACCTGAACGATTCCTGCACGCCGTATGCTCTGAGGGAGGCTATGCACGGGTCAGCGCAATTTATTTAGGAGCCAGCATCTGAACGAAAGGACTTACTCAACCCCGCAATAGCAGCATTAAAGTGACCCAAAACCGGGGCCTCAGCTACACTCACTTCCCGCTTGACAGCTAGTTGCGCTCTTATGTAAACTTGACCACACAATCCGCCCATGACAGCGACCAATCCTCCAGACACAAACGCAATGGGTGCCATGACTACTACTGAACCTAGCTTCACTATTATGGTCCCACTGTGCATCATAAACCAGTAAAAGTACTGGTTTATCTCGCCGTCAACTAATAATTCGCTGGTTGAGTAGGCTGACAGGTTTGACATTCCAAACGACACGTACCTGCTTGAATATCCTGCGTGCAGCGAGTAATAATACGAGAAGCGGGCGTTTTATCGAGCCACCTGCGGACTCATATTTTACATCCGACATGAGGGGTTAATCGAAATGATATCCTACATACCTGAGTGTTGTGCCTAAGATGGAGGTTACCAGAGTAGTATGAATCTTTCGTGATGCTCGAAGAGTTGCAAAAATGTATGACCCATATGAGGTTGTGAAACAAAGTATGGTTACAACCTGGATGACAGTGTATCCTGACAGAAAACTGAAAGATGGGAGTGATGGTCATAAACAATGGCAATGTAGAATTGGAAAGCACATACTATGATACTGGTACCTCCGAAGCAGGATGTGTTTCATACTCCCGCGACCAAAGCCCGAGGAACCATATTTGCAAAGTGGCTAGCACTTCAGAACCAATAAACGTGCCAACACAGACTGTCCAGAAGATAAGAGAATGCTGTCCCCCAAGAGCAGTTATGAACATTTTCCCTACAAGTCTTGCTGAGCTAGATGCTATCACGAGCGGAACAAGGAAATACACACAAGTAGACCAGCCAACATGTCCCTCAGCGATCTCTTCCGCTACGATAAGCTTTCCGGCTGATGGTTTTTCTTGCGCAGGCTGTTCAGCATCAATGTCCACTTTCAGTTCCTCTTTACGCTGTTCCGCGAACTCGGTGGAAAGGAGCTTGTCATCTTCCAGCGCCTTTGAGAGCGAACCTTGGCTGTGGATGCGCCCATCTGTTCCCATTGACACCACAAACTCTGCTACCGAGCTGGCCAATGCTACGTTGTGTGTCTGGTAGCACAGTCATGTTGTATTCTAGAAAGTGGCAGACTCCACGTACTACGAGGATGATTGTACGCCCCCGGATCAAATCTCCACAGAAACATTTTTCAACAATCCACTTGGCGGTGTGGACGTCCAGGGCTGCAAGCACCTGAGGCAGGAGAGTAAACCATCGCGGCATTGTAGTGTGAATCATGATTCATCTACACTTACATCGTCGAGTAAAACGATCTCCGCAGATGAATAGACAGCCCGAGCCAAGGTGATGCGAGCCTGTAGATGTATTCGTACATTGAACGACACCAGGGGTTTTGATTCTCACCTTCTGGCCACCACTGTGGAGAACAGTTAAAGCCCTACACGTATGATAGAAACTAAACAGTAACCACACACCTCAGAGTTAACCCTTTCTCTCCGACCTCCGTCTTGTCGCCCGCCTCGAGGAGCTCCAGGTCGCGTCGGAGCCCACATTGCTCGATTACTGACACGACATTGGTAAAAACAATTATCGATTTTGAATAGTAGTCGCACCTTTACTGTATCGCTCTTCGTCGTATGAAGCCCCGAACAAAATGTTATCCTTCTCAGAGTGAGTATAACATTAGACAATGCAGCCCGTTCTCCTTACCCGAATCGTCTCATTCTGAACCCAGGATTCTTGAGCAGCGTAAGCGATGCCACCGGAGCGAGGCAGATTGACGAAAGAGTCTGGGCCAGCGGGAATATAATGCATCTCTCCTACAAGGGTCTCGTTCAAGTGTCCGGTATACACGTCTCTACTCTGCAAACTCACCAAGGAGCGCCATCAACATGCTCGTCTTGCCCGATCCTGTGGGACCAACAATCAAATTGGTATATCCACGCTTGAAGGTCACCTCGCCCTCAATACGGAGGGTGAAGTTTCGCTGATTAGGACCGGGTGTCAAGGTCCCATCGTTAGAACTTGTCCACGTAAAGGCCGCGTCGCGGATGCCGATGACGTCATTATCATTACCAGGGAATTCGGATGAAAAGACGGAGTCGGATGTTCCACTCGAGAACTGGTCGAGTAATTCCGTCTGCGGAACAATCAGCACCACAAAGAGTGACCTGATGGTCCCACTTACTTCGTGCAAGAATTCATTCACACGGTCGAGGGATACTTTGGCTGCGCCAACAGTCAGATAGCTCATTGAAAGTGGAAAGGGCGACACCTGCCTTGAATAATGGATGGCATCATCCCAAAGACCGAATGCATTTCCGATTGCAATGTCTCAAATACTGGAAAGACTTAGCACAATACTGGTCAGAGTATTCTATGCGTACATACTGGTGATGGATGAAAACACGATGGAAGCTGCGACTGTGTCAATGTTTGAAAATTTAGAAGCCAGATATCGCTCACCAGTCAGCTCGCCTTTCATAACAACGGTCTGTTGGTACACATGATTAATATGCCTAGCAACCCAAATGAATGAGGGGGCTTACGAAGAGCGTATAAGTTACGATCATGGTGATGACAGGGATGAGGTGACTGGCGATTTTTAATCAGCCAGCATATACAAGGTGAAAAAACCGTCGTACTTGATGTAACCAATCAAAAAGTCAAGTAGCTTATACTTCCTCATGTAAGTCAATTCTTCATCCCGTCTATGTGCTAGTCGATCTTGCATACGTCCCTCCCAACCAAACATCTTGATCATGCGGATGACATTGAGAACTTTACATGCATTGTCAGCATCTACACCAGGAAACTTCTGAGATGCCGTACTTTCTGTGACACTTTGTACGCGGGCATCCGTCTGTACTGAATGAGCAGAAAGATCTTTTCCAACGAGCCGGCAACATACCTTCTCCATCTTCTTGACTTGGAGATTCTGGAGGAGGGAGGCGATCCAGCCAGGCAATGGGACCATTGCAGCCATGACCATCATCCCGACAAGCGCGCTACAAACTGACAGTTAGAGCACTTTAAATCACTAGGTCGTGCAAATTCGCAATATACCTCCATCCCAAAATCGAATACAGAAACCAAGTGCAAAGCGCGATCTGAAGAGGAATCTCCACCACTACTTACAAAACATAGTCAGTCATGGCCTAGCATAGACGGAGACAAGAACGCGCCAACGAAAGGAAAATCTCGTCCCAGGGAGATATTGGCCATATCGCTTGTGACGAGATTGTTAATCTTTCCTAATAGATTTGCACCCTGTTTGACATCAGCAGGCCCAGACTTCTGCTTGGAGTCATTCACCAAGTTCGTCTCCGGCGCACGCTGTTTTCCCAGGGAAGAATTATCGGTGGTGCTTGCCGATTCCTGTATTATCGTGTCCTCGCTTGTAGTTTCGGCTGTCTCCTGAAACGTAGCAGGTATGACCATAGACGCAGATTCTGACACCACGGCTTCTGATGCTGAATTTGAACCATTCTCCTCAACTTCTGCTTTCACACGAATTCGAAGAGCATGGTCGAATACGAGCTGAGTGATGACTGCCTTGGCCCGAGTGATTGTAGTGGTCTTGCAACGCGAATGAGCTGATGAAGACAGTACAGAGGATGACAACATACCGACGTGTAACAATACCATTGGAACGCAATTGACCCCAGGACAGGACCAAAGAAAAGGAATGCGATCCATACCCAGGGCCGGACAACCTGCCCTTCACCGCCCTTTTCCAGGTAGCTATTCTAAAGTTAAAATTCTGATATCGGCCCGATAGTAGCACACATACTTAAGCAGTCTGTTCACGCCCACGGGGCTAGCAAGGTATGCGACGGTCTACACAAACAAAGTCAGAGGAGCATGTTGGCGAGATCGTGCAAGGCATACTCGAGACATCAACATCAAGCAGAGGACAATATATTGAGTCCCTGTCGTCACTTTTCAGCTTGATGAGCCAGTAGTAAATTGTTCAAGCGACCTACGGAATATTCTCATAAGGCCCCAGAAGAGATGCCTTCGTTTCGTTATCTGGAATGGGTCGAGACACTACAGAATGATACCATAAAGCATTGTCTGCCAACATAACGGATTGGTACAAACTGGATAACAACTCTTGACTAGATTCTTGGTGTGATCATAGTCAGCGAGCGGTGGGAGCCCTTCCAAGCCGAGGTGAGACACGCGATTGGCTTCCAACACAGTCTTGTCCAGCCATCCATAGAGCATGAGGGATAAAATTGAAGCTGTCTGTTCAGGATGTGCTACTATTGGGTCCTGAATCAATCAATCAGATAAGAAGTCAACGCCAGGAAGTCGCTGGAATACGACTCACGCTTGGGTCGATAGGAATATGGCGGTTAGGCATACATATAGGTACGAGAACCGCTGCGAGCGTCAGCAGAGAAATCTTTCCCCATAGCAGGCTCCCCTCTGCGGAGTCTATTGGCGTCAGGGTGAACGTTGCCAGAGGCCAGACATCTCGATACATGTATACACCCCAAGTAAAGAGCAGAACAATGGCGAGGTGACGTGACACTGATCTGGTTGGCTTTGCAATCACCGAAATAAGTGCGAGGAGGGATGCGTAAGTCTATTGGTTGTAAGATGATGCAAATACCGAGATTTCCAGGAACATCCTCACATATGTTACACAAAGTCCAAAATCTCGCCATAGGGTTGCGTCAGCTTCGACCGTATCATCTGCAAGGGAGAGCAACGGAAGAACAGACAGACAGAACAAGATAATACAAGCAAGTAGTCGGGCACACTTGAATGCAAAAATCGTAGGGCCACCGTGACGATCTATATGTTTGGCGGAACAAGGCTCGACTGGAGGCTTCCCGAGAACGGAATGCTCGCCACGCAGGCATTGGATGAACTTGCATCGAAGAATCTCGAATAAAAGAATTGCAGCTGACGCGCACGAGATATATGCCGGGATGTTCAGAGTATCATACCACGAGCTATACAAAAGGTCAGACGTATAAAACTCACTATTTCGTGTACCCCAGGCTCACCTTGCGATCATGTCCCCAAACGCATCATCGCTGAAATTCGATAAAGGCCGCGCCAATGGAATCTGAGTGTCCATCTGCCAGGCAGCATGGACGATACCCACAACCATCTGGTCAACGTGAGCGGCGAGCGGCGCAGAGACTGTGTGAGATAGAACTTGACAAAGCCGCGGTGCTGTACTTAAGGAGTCTTTAGCGCGCAATCCGCAGGTCTTGAATCAGATACGGTCCGTACTATACATAATGATAGAGCAGAACCGCGTCACTCGCATCAAACCTTGTGAAGCCATATCGCCCGCTCGGAAGCGAGCGACAGCGAGTCAATGTGGGTCGGACTACACGGGCGCTAACACAGTCAAATTTCCATTGGGCGCGCGCGCGCGACACGCGTAGTCTGACATGATGCGACGCACCACAGGAGGGAGAACGCCACCGAAAAAGAGATTTTCGCGGGGGGTCCTTGAAATTCAAACCCCTTCAAAAGTGCTTGCCGCGCCAGTGAACTTCACAGTACATAAGTATCGCCAGGCTGAGGTACTCGAGCTCGCCAAACGCATCTCTTCAAATATATATGCTACTTATGGGCTAGCGCACACGCAAAGTAGTGTCTCACTAGGCGGCCAGTGGGAATGTCTTCTTCGGTCAATCCGTAGCTACAGACGCTGGTGATATGATCTCAGCTGCCAGCTCTCCAACACGAAGTACAAACACCATTTCAGCACGTACTACGGAGCAGAAGCAGTTTGAGAGTAAGCCAGTCACTTACACTCAAAGAGCTAACATGCTCTGGGCCACTTGAGAGACTGCATGCAGCATGGAAGGTGCACGATGGCTATCCATTGTGACGATACCACTAATCCATTGGACCAGTGGGCGACGGGTCGCCTCGCCGTAAACGGAAGATCCCGAAGAGGGTTAGATCACGTGATAGTCCTCTAGAGCGCGGGAGCTTGGCTTGTCAACGCTGTTCAAGTCTTCCCCCTTCAAGTTCGAAAACACTCATAAGCATTGCTAAAGCTCTACCGTAATGGTGCGTAGGCTCTAACAGAAGAACTTTATTCTTTCTAATCATCAATGTCAGGCTCGTAATGAGGAGAAAGCACAGTCTATGCTGTATCGTTTCCGAGAGGCCCAGGCAGCAGAGCTTGGCCTGGGGACTAGGAGCGACCGCAGGCCACGAATGGCCAGCGCGTGTAAGAGCTTGCGCGAATGTGAACGCTGGAGGGGAGAGATCTTGAGGGAGATCAGTCGGAAGGTGTCCAAGATCCAGGATGGTGCGCAGCAGGCTCCCTTTCGTCTCAAACCCACTGAAGGTTTCGTGCATAGCCGGTCTAACGGACTACGAGGTCCGAGACCTCAATGATGAAATAAATAAGCTGATGCGAGAAAAGCGACACTGGGAGAACCAAATAGTTGCGCTAGGTGGAGCGAACTATCGGCGGAATGTAGCCATGATGGATGATGATGGAAAAGAAGTCCCTGGAACTAAGGGATACAAGTGCGTGAAATGTACCTGGAGAGATTTCTACGGTGCTGACACCTAGCAAACCCTAGGTATTTTGGTCGAGCAAAAGAACTCCCCGGTGTCAAAGAACTCTTTCAAAGTAAGAAGACGGAAGAAGATGAAGAGAACCAAACGCAGAACTATTACAAGAAGTTTACAAAACAGGGCCCAGCGTACTTTGGAGACTTAGATGAGACAGACGGGAAGCTAGTGGAGTTTGAGATGCGCGCTGAAGAAGAAGGTACGTTTCATTGCACTAGCATTCTGTGTTTGCCTCATTTGAGGTCGTCTTCAGAATGGGAGGATGCATATTCACACCTACGAACAATTCTGGGTCTCCCGGCAGACGAACCAGTACCCCAGATTCCTCGTTCCACAAAAAAAGCAGCGATTGTGACTGTGATAGACTCAAATTCAGAAACACCATCGCAGACCGATACAAAACGTAAAGCACTAGACGGAGGCGAAGATGATGCTGAAATGTCCGTAGACGAGAGTGCCAAGCGCCTACGAATCGATGGCTCACAGCAAGCAAGTGCAAACGGCGCGGCAGCTCCGCTACAGGATGATGCGCTTACATATGCTCGCGCGACTGCAGCCTTTATTCCCTTTTTATCGCCGGAAAACCTTTTGCCGCCGAAACTGCCGACGAGAGAGGAGATGGAAGAGTACCTACTCGGTCTCCGGAAGAGGGCGTTGGTAGAGGAATACTTCGGCGATGCTTAGATTCTGTTTGTGGGAGGTTCGTGCATGGTGTATTTATCAGATTCTTATGATGTATTATGTGGCTTTTAGTTGTATTAGGTACCGCTATTCGAAGCTATGCGCTAGCTTGTGGTGTACGCACTTAAGTTGCGAGGGTAACTTAGCGACGCAAGTTAATGAGAGGGTTCCCAACGAAGACTTCGCTACGCCTGTTTGTTCTTATACATAGCGTGTACCACTGGCCAAAGTGACAGAACGGACGGTAGAGTCGCGCAACGCCAATTCTGCAAGGCCCTGATGGCATGTGTAGAGGAGCACCTCGGGGAGTCCATGAGGGCAAGAGCAAGAATGGGTGGGACTGTCGTGCCCTACACTACATCACAACCACAGATTAGCTCATATAGCCTGTAGCTACTAATTGACTCAGGTGGCAGAATATAATTAGCCACATACCTCTGATTTTCCGAAAGTTGATAGTCACAATAATTGTAGGGCAGATATTTGTTTCTAAGATTCTAATATAAGGTAATTCTAGGCCTTCTTTTTCGTATTTTGCTGATGTCCGAGAAACAGTTCTACATTCCAGCCCATGCCTGAAATCTGTTAAGGACGTGACACCAAAGCTTCTGGCAAAAGATTCTCACGCAAGCATAATCCATACAACAGCTAAGCATTACAGCAATCAACGTGCAGATGGTAATTCCAGCACATCTGAAGTAGGTTTTGTACGTTTAGGGGTGGGGGAATCGGGTTCTTGAAGATCATGCGACACCGTGGATCCCGATGCGGCAGTGCCCATATTCATTCCTTTTGAAGTGGGAGATATTTCTCCTGTGCGACCATCGTCGGTTCGTCTGCGTTCGATTTCACGTTCCTGCAGCGCGACATGCTTAGGATCCGTGATAGGCTTCAAGTCAAGCCGAGCGGCCTCCATGGCTTCGATGAAGTCTTCGTGCACGTTGTTGAACTCCCGCGAGCAGTATGCAGTTTCGAGAATATCACGCAGATTCGCCAGCACCTTCTCGAGTGGTTTGTAGTAGTCTGGGAGAAATTTGAGCACCCGAAAAGTAAAGTCGTCTTTATTCCTGATGAGAGTTTGCTTGCGCTCAGCTAGATACCCAAATTCTCCTTCGAAAAGTGCCCTCCAGTTGTTGCGAAGAGGTTGAGTCTTCTCACTATTGTCCCAGATATCTCGACGTCGATGAGCTGGGCCATCACGAGAAAGACAAATATAGACAAGAACCCAGAGGAAGCTTTCTAGGTCATGAATTGCATCGTGTCGAGGAGCTGACGGCGTCTCGCCCGATTTCGCAAAGTAGGGCCATTGTTGAAGCAATTCTCCAGACATGAAGGGACGAGTGCCCTATAGCAAAGGAGGGATGCAATAAGTCGGATGCCAATGTCGAAAGTAATGCTCTTACAGACGCAGGGTCATTTGCGAGCGTTTGATGGGTGCTGAACTTGATCGCATTGTCATAATCAATGAGCACGCCTTTGAACACTCTCTTGCCATTCACCATGGCCGGCACGATAAGGATATTTCCTTCGCTAACATCACGATGCAAAATATCTCGTAAATAAGAATTCTTGTGACCTAGATCCCCTTCAGCCACAATTCGCCATCGCTCTGACACTACTCACCTCTCACCGCGTCGGCGACGACGCAAAGTAATTCTTCCGGAGAGAGCGCATACTTGACCGGCCATCCATACGTCCTGACGACCAGCCTTGAGTGAACCTTGCGCAACGGTGGCAGTCCTTGCTCTAGCGCCAGCGGAGGTAAGAAATCCTGGTCGGGAAGATATCTCGTCGTGCCATTGCGTTCTCCGTCCGGGGAATTAGATCGATAGTTCGGAGCCTCTGCAGACGGTGTCGCCTGTTCTTGGTTTGTCTCGATTGATCTTGGTGTATCCGCTACGACCAAATCTCGACGGATGAGCGAGTGTGTCGTATCCGTCTGGCCATCGATAGTGACGCTGCAGTATGACTGCAACTGGGTGACTCCTTCACAATCACCTATCATCTCCAGTAGTTCACCTTCGAGCGCTCGTCGCTCGTCGCGCCATGTGTCTTTAAGAACGTAGACCTGCCATCCAGTCGTCAGACAGGTCACAATGGGACGCTTGTGTGATTAAAGACTTACACATCGCTCCTCTTTCGGCTTCTTCAACTCATCCTTCTTCCAAGCCTTCCACACCCTCGTTGCGCGACCGCGAATCACCGCACCACGCAGTAGGGAAATTGCCTCGAAGAGCACGAAGGTCTCATATTTCTGCCCTCCCCGCTTAGGTCTGTCATTGGTATTTAGCTTCTTCGGCATGTCTACTAGCCAATAATATTCCGATCCAGCTCTGTACGACAACACACCAGGCTTTTTCAAGTCCGTATTACTATACGATAGTTGCTTCGGGAGTGTGCGCATCGTCGTATCCCACCCAAGTCGTTCCAGGGGAAGTGTGGCTATTCCTGCGATGACCTTGATGAAGGTCAACGGGTCCTAATACCAAAAGTCAAGTCAGAATTTTGATCTATACCTAACCATTCTAGAAACGCACGTTATGAATGTTGAATGAAGAACCACCCACGACACCCGAGCGGTCGGCAAGATAGACGCAGACATTGAACTCAGCCAACACCAGCCCCAGCACAAACCG